AGAACTATGAATGGGTGCCTGTGAAACCAAAATGGAACAAAATTTTCTGCTCAGCCCACCCTACTCACTGGACATCTGCAGGAACAAGATGAAAATCACCCGATCTGTGCAGGAAGCTCAGGTAAGCAAATAACTAGCTGCACAAAGCAATGTCAAGTAGCTTCTACATGGGAGCTCTGATAAGTCAACTGTCATAAGGAGAACTGGAAAAAAGCACAAGAGGAACATCTGTAAAATGGAGGGAGAGAATTAAGATAAACTAAGACTGAAGCTGCAATGATCTTGTATAAAATATCTTCACTCCTCTAGGCCTCCCCTTTTCTCATTTCAGCGAGATTTATTTCTGAGCAAAAGGGCTGAATTACAACCACACTACCACAGCCTCTCAGACCCTATATATCATGTAAGCTGAGCAGCTTCACTCTCCAGAAAGCTCTTTACCCGGGATGTATTGCTAGGAGTATTTTTGCTAACACTTCAGCCGCTCCCTAGGGATTTATTTACGCCATCACAATATACTGAGCAATTCATTGTTATTTATGCGCACAAATATCTCCCCTCTTCGTCTTCTGAACAAGCATCTTTGTTACCAGGGAGTACATGCAGCTTGGGAACTTAAGCCTGAGAAATGGAAACCTCTTCCATGAACGTTTGTCATCATTAGTTACATTTCTGCGCAGTTGGAGAAAAAGGAAACCTGGCAAAATAATAACAATAATAAGTTTAACATCCTCTTACAACAACAGCCTCATCTGCAGCCTTTGGCCTGGTCCAGTAGGCTCTTCTTATATTCTTACAGCCAATGACACTCAATGCCTTGTTTTTAGTTGAGACCAGTTGGGCCTCTGTAACATGGCGGAACAACCAACAACTCTCCTCTTGATTCTCTAAGCAATTCAGCTTGATTTAGGGGCTCAGGCATGACAGGATCCAAATTTTGGAATTGAGCTCAAAACTAAAAAATAAATAAAAAATTAAAAATTAAAGAGATCAATTTGGGGGGAGGAATTGAGCTATTTTTCCACTTGGGCGACAGAAAATATTTCACTTTGCTGAGCCCTATTCTAGAACAAGCCAAGAGGAGTTCACTTTTCCTTTCTTAAAAGGCAGGAAACCCCATGGGATGCTTGGCGAAGGATCATAGTTCAGTGGTTAAGCATCTGCCTTGTATGCAGAAGGTCCCAAATTCCATCTCTGCTGACCGAAACCCTGGCTAGTCAGTGTAGACAATATGGAGCAAGATAGACCTATACACTCAAATGTATAATGTGCTGCAGTACAATACAGGTTTCTGGGTTTGTTTGGTTTCTTACAGAAACGATGGTTCCCATTTTGAACACAAAATGCTCAAAACACTAATTGCAAACAGGAAAATAAGATCTCTTTGAAAAACAACAACAACAGTGCACAGCAGCCAGAGTGGAAGATCTGGCCACACAAATAGAAGCCAGCAGAACATAAGAAGAACCCTACTGGATCAGGCCAATGGTCCATCTCAACCAGCATCCTCTTCTCAGAGTGGCTAACCAGATGCCTATGGGAAACCTGCAAGCAGGATTCAAGCACAAGAGAACTCTCCCCCTCCTGTGGTTTCCACCAGCATTGCTGCCTCCAACTGTGGAGACAGAGCTATAGTCATCATGGCTCTGCCCAGTATACCTGAAGGAGCATCTCCACCCCCATTGTTCAGCCCGTACACTGAGGTCCAGCGCCGAGGGCCTTCTGATGGTTCCCTCACTGCGAGAAGTGAGGGTGCAGGGAACCAAAAGAGGGCCTTCTCAGTAGTGGAGCCTGCCCTGTGGAATGCCCCCCCATCAGATGTCAAGGAAATAAACTGACTTTTATAAGATATCTGAAGGCAGCCGGGTTTAGGGAAGTTTTTAATGTTTGATGTTTTATCATGTTTTTACTATTCTGTTGGAAGCCGCCCAGAGTGGCTGGGGAACCCAGTCAGATGGGTGGGGTATAAATAATCAAAAGTCATTACACAACACGGAGACATAACAGGAGACAGAGAGGGAGGAATTCCCCATGGGTGTGAGATGGAGCTGGTGGTCTCCTCTCTGGCATGAAACAGCATCTCATGGGCTGGCATTCCCCAGTGGCTAGGCAAGAAGGCAGAGTCAGTTTTCTTTATATGGTCTACTCCTTGCAATACAGGGAAGCCGCCTGATGGGATTCAGAGGCATCAAACTGGATTTTTACTGGTCACAAAAAAAAAAATGTGCTTCCCTATGATATGTGCTGTTGGCACTATTTCCCATTTTTTTCTGAAACACAGTGGCATGGTTGAGAGGGGGACAAGGGGTGTGTGCAATTCTGGGGTGCTTTTCAAAGCAGGAGTAATGATGCCACCTGCTAAAACACCAAGGTACTAGACTATGGGTGGAGAATGGAGGACCAGAGGGCCAAATGCAATCTATGTATTTGGCCCCTCAGGCAAACCCTACAGTCTAAACTTATTTGGGGGTAGTAACAGGGGTTGATGCCTGGGAACCTACAGTAATTTGAGTGTGGAAAAGTGGATGAATGTTGTGCTTCTAAGCAGTAGAGTCAGGAGGCCTGCATACTGAAAGTAAGCAGCAGCGATTTGGTAGGACAACAAATGGGTATCTAAGGAGAAAGAATCAAGGAAGTACAGTTTGATCCAAAATGATTTCCTATTCCATGTCCCATATTAAGGGAATTATTTCAGTAAAGCTGGAGAGAGTGGCAGTTGTATTGCTTGTTAACTAATCCAAAACAGATTGTTAGAAGAAAATTTATGATGGATTTGAAAGCTATATTGCAAAGGGCAGATTTATCATGAACACATTCCAGAGCTGTTATTGCTAAGCAAAATGGTTTGGTTTGTAGCACACTATTTACATATTACCAATTGCCTTATTGGCCTCAGAATGGAAATTATAGTTGAGATATGCATTAGAAATTATGCAGGCCCAGGGCAAGGGGGAAATGCAATCAACTAATTTCATTTTGATGATGGTGAACAAATTTTATATGGAGCAAAATTCCAGAGGACAGGTAAACCCTGGTTTTGGAGTGTGTGTGTGTGGGGGGGAGTGTTCTGCTTAATGGCAGTAGTTCAGTAGACTTAGCTAGCATCTCACCCTTCCCCTCTAATGTCAAAAATACATCGAAAGCAGGACTTCTGCAATTCGTTGAGTTGGGCAGGCATGTGTGAGTGAGTTGGTCACAGAGAGAGAAGGGGAGTGGGCAGGGCTGGATTAACCATTAAACAAAATAAGCACATGCTTAAAGCATTGAGGGAAGCAGAGCACCACGGAAATTTTCCATTGCCATATTTACCACGGACCATATGATGCAGCTGACCCAGGTTACACAAAAAAGACTCCCACAATAAATGAAACACACACAACAAAACAAGCAATAGTAATAATAAAATAGTAATTGTGACCATCTAAGCCTCTCTTATCCTGCCCTCAGGACTTTCCCAGGTCATGCCCCATCTCCCCAGACAACACCCCAACTGGCCCTGAAAGAGCACTAGCACTTGTGAAAGACCACTGGCCAGACCATGCTTCCCCATGTTTCAGGGACAGATCCCAGGGTGGAACAGTGAGATGCCCTGACCTGGGAGGGGGGGCACAGTGCAGATCAGGGGGTGAGTGGGGCCACGCACAGCCCTAGTATGAACCTTTGACTTCTGCATGACTGGAATGTAGATTAATGTACAAGATTCGTATCAGTTACGGCACCCACTTTTGCCCTTGTCTGTCCTACTGATGGCACCAGTAGGCCTTGCTCATTCTCGAAAGGAGCAGTCTGTTGGTAAGGGAATTAGTGACAGAGTTTCATAATTCACCCAGGAGGTGCTGAAGCACATCTTTGGGTAAATCACAAACTTGCCACAGAAGCCCTGCTCCTGCACATCATCTGAGGCATGGTCCCTCACATGATAGGATCCAGGGTGCAATCCTATATGCACAAAGCTAGGAGTAAACCCCACTGAACAAAATGGGGCTTATTTCTGAGCAGACATGCATGGGCATCAAAATTAAGCCTTGGGGAAACCTACATGACTGTGAATTAATACAGCAATATTAACAGCCGCAATACTGTTCATTGCCCATGAGATTTCTCATGACATTAGCTTCAGCTTATTTCTGTGGGCATAATTAGAGACCCTAGATCATGTGGATTTTATTTGCTGCTCCTGGTATGTTTTATTGTACTGCTTTATTACTGCAGTGGATTTCTTGCTCTTCTTTTAAGAGTTCTTTTGGAGTTTGATAAATGCTGTCTGTTTTTGCACCTCATTCAGCATCATGCACAGTGGAAACCAGACCTCACACACATGTACCCACACATGGCCAATTACTCCTAAATGATATAAATGTTCATGTGTCTACATATACTTTACTGCCTTGCGACCGCTCCATGTGACGTTTATTAGTTTGTCCTTTCTGCTCACATAATATTTACTCATTTATTTCATATAGTTATATGCCACTTCATACCAGAAAAGACTCTTAAGGGCTCATCCACACTTCCACTTGTCCTACTGCCACTTCTGTGGTTTCTTCCATGCCACTCCAGGTAACGTATACTTTTGCCAAACACATGCAGGGAATAGAGATGACCGGCTTATTACATGGCAAGTCAGCAACACACATGGTGTTGTGCTGTGGCTGAAGGAGAAAACAGTACATAGCTGGGTCTTTAAACACATGCAATGCAACTAGACTAATGGAAATGCTCCATCCAGCTGCTAGAACTGGAAAAGAACTACAGAAGCCCAATCAGGTCAAAAGACACTAACAGCCCATTAGCATTCACCAGGGGTAGGCAACCTAAGGCCTGGGGGCTGGATGCAGTCCAGTCGCCTTCTCAATCCGGCCCGCAGACGGTCCGGGAATCAGCATGTTTTTACATGAGTAGAACGTGTGCTTTTATTTAAAATGCATCTCTGGTTTATTTGTGGGGCATAGGAATTCGTTCTCCCCTCCAAAATATAGTCCGGCCCCCACAAGGACTGTGGGACAGTGGACCGGCCCCTGCTGAAAAAGGTTACCGACCCCTGGCATCCACAAGGCATGAGTTGGTTGGTCATCTAGATTGGCACATACATAATATGGTTGCTTTCCGTCATGCAGTAAATTCTGGAGCCTTTGCCATGTAGTAAGGCTTCCAATGGTAAGCAGCTGACATGATTGATAGCATGACATGTAACCACAAGCAATCAGCATGCCACTCCAGGTTAACATATAGAATAGATTCCACGTCTTATTTACAGGTATGCACATTTTCTCTGTAGTTATTTATGCCGCAGCTAGTGCTTGCTCTTACGTTAAATACAAATCCTTTACAAACTCATGAACTCCCCCATCCAGCCTCTTACTAACTGAGCCAAAGGAGCAATTTTGCAGCCTTAACTAGATGTTATCATCATTTCTCTTTTAATGCGTTATTGCTAATTTGCCTCCTGAGTCCTTTAACTTCCAGTTTAATGGAGCACAGGGGCAGCTTTTCCCCTAGTCTCCCCCCTCCTAAGTTTTATAAAGTAAAAAGGATAAACAAAGATAAGAAATAAATAAAAATACACACAAAACTAGATAAGGAAAGCACTAAAAAGACCGCCTGCGGTCTTTCAGACTTTCTGGCACCGGCTCAGCTATGGAATCTGAAGAAGCACGGTAGCTCAGTTGTGGAGCATCCTTTTTCCATGCAGAAGGTTCTGAGTTCAATTCCTGGTATCTCCAGGTAAGGTTGGAGTGTAGACAGAGTTTGGTCTGACTAGTGTTATAAGGCAGCTTCCTAAACCCCTAACAAATGAATTCCCTTCAGAAATGATGGCAACCAGGTTAGGGAAGGCTGATTTAAGATAACCCAAACTCAGAATTCCAGTATATGTAAAATGGAAGCACATGCCTCCAGTCTCTACCTCTTGTCGGAGGAGAAGAAGGCAGAAAGCGAGCCCAAGATTCACTGCTTTTACTCCTGCATGTCATAATCAATTATGTATGAAACAGGCCATTGCATTGGGAAATCTAGGAAAGGTTTCAAAAATGCTATTGGGCTTTCTTAGGTCAGAACTAAACATGACTGATGCAAATCTGTATCTTCAGTTTTTGGTTCCTTCATGCCCAATAGCTATGAGGATGGGAATGGTTTCAAGCAGTTAAGCCATGGGCATGAAGGGATGTGTGCTCAAATCATGGAGAGTCGCTGCCCATCAGAACAAAGTATAC